AAAGTAACCCTTTTGTCTTATTCTTCTGATGGTTATGATTGGGTGAGCCTACTATAGCTGACTAAAATCAACAAGAATTGGGAATAGGAGCCCTGGGTGTAGTGAGTGTTACCTTAAGGAGAGGTTAAGTGTTGCCTACTGCTGCTCCAGAATATTCTCTGTGTGGGTATGTTTATGTGTCTGTCTGTGTCTGAACTAGTACCATGAGAGCCTATAGGGATACATGGGAAGAGCCATATTCTCAGCCTACACAACTCCCAGCTATCTTTTAGGATCCAACTCAGATGTTACCACACTCTCTGAAATTTTCCAGACTCAAGGAGAGTCAGTTTCTACTTTCATACCTGAAGTATTTACCTCTACTAAAGGGTTATTGGTATTATTTACTTACATCTGTGTCTTTCACTGGACATCTTTAAGGTATATATAAACTGTTATTCATCTTTATATACCCACATTTACTATGTGGAGTGCACTCTTCTAATCACTGGGGAAAATAATGCTGATGTAAACTGATAAGTTCTTACTGTCATATGGGGGTGACAGGAGGCAGAGAAGTGCTCAATAAATGAGGTACAAGTAATTTTAATTGATATTCCTGAGTGGAGAACTGAGTGTCCACTAATCTGACCCATTGGTGATTTTTTATGGTATCGAAGTATGATTTCCTGCATACATAATATTGTTAGTCTCCAACACACATTTATTTATTTACCGCTTTTATGAAGAGTCTTTAATGAAATCAAGTATCAAACACAAATGAAATGGTAGAAACTCTGTTATAATATTTTATTAGACAGGAGAAGGAAAGGCAGGTTTTGGTGTAGATAAAGTTGGGGATCCGTCAATAAGAGGTACCAAAGTACCTATGACACTTGACTGGCTGATATTATAGTTTTCTGAACTTGAAAGTTTAAAAGAACAGCAATAAAAAGTGTAAAACTCTTTCTAGTAGGTTATTTAAATACACTGCCAATGCCTTAGGTTGTTTTGTAGAGCCGGTCAAGGGAGTGGTCTGGAAGAAAACAAAGCAAAGCAGGTGTTGAGAAACTGAATGTGCTAGTGCAATTGCTTTTGCCTCTGCTTCGCACAGAGGGATTTGTTCAGAGGACACCAGCTGAGCCAGCACTGGGAGTTGCTTATGGGGAAGTGAACATTCCAACTAATGGGCACACAGAGTATGTAGCAACTTAGAAGTCCTCCTTGTTGGCAGATCTCGAACTTCCTTTACTTACATATGCAAAGGTCTTGAGACATTGTGAAGTTACGGTTTCTAAAGGCCCAGAGGCCTATCAGCCCCTTCTAAAAATATTCACCAAAAGCAGGCAAGAGGAACAGGCTGTAACAATAAACTCCCTTTAATTTCCTTCTCTGGTCCTGGTTTGTGCTTCTTCCATGTTGGTTGAAAAAACCAGAGCCTACTAATGGTGTGATTCCTCACCTTGTCTCACCTTTCTCTTCTGCTCTCCACCCTCTGCCTTGGTCTGTGGATTTCTCAGGTCCTGAGACATGCTGAAAAGAGTAAATATGTGTTTTTCCAAACCAGAATCAAGGGTCCTGGCTTAGCCTGGCCTAGAGAGAATGCAGATACGGCCTTTTCATCATAGTCTTTTCTGCCTGACCCTCAATTAGGAAACCTCAGTGGCTCCTGAAGTCAGGCTTTCCATGTCACATTGTCACCATATCAAAGAAGTGAACCACCATCTTTTCAGACTGTTTTGACTCTCAGAACTGAAGAAATTTGTGTGATTAGATGTCCACTTCATTGTCTCCATGTTGCTTGGAGTTTGCAAATTCACTTTCTTTTTAACAAATGGGCTCCTCAATTGTGAACTGTGGACAGATTCAACTAGAGTGAAGAGATTAAAGGTGCTATTCTAATGCTGTCATTATGCCTCATTTTGAGATTTCCAAGATGGGTTATGAAGCAGAAGTAAGCAGACTGACAAGTTTCCCTTTTGAGAAGTTAGGTATATTTTTAGCCTTTCTTTCTGCCTGAGCCAACCTGATCCACCGCATCCAAGGATCTAAAGTGTTGCATCCTACTGCCCCCAGCTGGCTCTTTTTGGTGCTTATGTTACTACATCATAAAATCTCAGATTATATGGCACTTACATTTTTTTCTAAGCACTTTCATGTATTTATATTAGATCCTCATAATAACATTGTGAGTTATATGGATCAGGAATTATCATATCTATTTTATACAGGGGAAAACTGAAGGATAGCCTCATTAGTTGATTTGTCCAAAGGTAAATAGTTGTTAAGAGGCAGAATTGGACTAAAATTCAGATCTCTTGCCTGCTAACCCATTAGGTTCCCTAGTCTTTTGAAAATTCAGTATCCCCCCCCCAAAAAAAAATAGATATTAAGAGCTTAATTTTAGGTTTAGAGGAATTTTCCCTCTTTCTCTCTTGAAGGGAGATAATATATCATGTAAGGTTTGAATAAATTCATTACCTAATTGGAAAAAAAAATTGAGCTCCTGTTCTGTATGAGGCTCTTTGACTCAGATGCTGTGGCTTCTAACTCTAATGTAATGTAGTGGTAAAGAACATTGACTGTGGGCCAGACTGTCTGGGTTTGAACCCTAGATCTTAACCTCTAAATGCCTTTTATAAAACGAGAATAATAATACACTTAACTCATAGGGTTACGTGCAGATTAAATGAGATAATTAATGTAAAGTTCTTAGACTAGTGCTTGGTACAAAGTAAACACTATATAAATAAATATTAACTGTTGCCATTGTTGTTTCATTGTTATTGTTATTGTTTCTATTATTAGAATCTCTTTATAAAAAGGTTTATTTGTTCTTTAAAAAAAGAAAAATGCAAAGCAGCCCCTCATGGGTATGTAGAAATGACGAACAGCCAACTTGATTGAAAGAGTACATCGTCATATAGTTTCTCCACAGCCTTATCTTCCTACTCACTCCTCCGTTCCCTTTGGTCTTAACTCTGGTCTTAACTAACTGCTCCGGCCATAGTTGCCAATTACTTCTCAGTTGCAAGTTCAGTGGACACTTTTTATGCTCACATAACTTGATATTTATGGCATTTGATACTTTTGGTCATTTCCACCTTGGAATGTTCTCCTTCTTTGGCTTCTGTGGTAACATTCTTCCTTGGTTCTACTTCCTCTGCCTGCTCCTTTAAACGTTACCATTCCTTAAGATTCTGTTAATTTGCACTTTATATGTTAACCCCTGGACAATTTCATACATCCCTTGGCATCATGACTACTTCAGCTCAATGTTACTATCTTTTAAATGTTAGTCTCTAGCTCAGACTTTGTTCCTAAACTTTAAGCTGATTCTCTATAGGACATCTTCACCTCGGCTGTCCCACAAGCCCTTAAACTCAACATCTCCTAGCTAAACTCATTATCTTTTAACCTTGCTTCTTCTAAAAACCTGTCCTTCTATTTTGTGGATATTTAATAATGGCATCCAGGGACCAATAACCTAGGATCAACCTAGAGCTTTTTGTTGCCCTCATCCCCCCATCCAGGTAGTCAAGTTGTTTGTTTGTTTGTTTGTTTGTTTGTTTGACTCTTCCATTTAAAAATATATCTTGAATCTTGCTCTATTCCAATACTTCCACTATTGCCTTAACTGAGGCACCCTTCTTTCATCAGGATTATTGTAATAATTGCCTATTTATCCTTCTCCATATTCTCCATCTAACCCACCGATCATACCATTGCTTAAATAATCTTTTCTTTAAAAAGAAAATGGGGGCACCTGGGTGCCACATTCAGTTGAGCATTTGGCGCAGGTCATGATCTCATCATTTGTGAGACGGAGCCCCATGCTGGGCTCTGTGCTGACCATGCAGAGCCTGCTTGGAATTCTCTTTCCCTTCCTCTCTTCCTCCTATCCCATTCGTGCTCTCTCTCTCTCTCTAAAAATAAATAAATAAACTTTTTTTTTTTTAATTTTTTTTTCAACATTTATTTATTTTTGGGACAGAGAGAGACAGAGCATGAACGGGGGAGGGGCAGAGAGAGAGGGAGACACAGAATCGGAAACAGGCTCCAGGCTCCGAGCCATCAGCCCAGAGCCTGACGCGGGGCTCGAACTCACGGACCGCGAGATCGTGACCTGGCTGAAGTCGGACGCTCAACCGACTGCGCCACCCAGGCGCCCCAATAAACTTTTTAAAAAGTAATAAAAAAAAATAGGGGAACCTGGGTGGCTCAGTCAGTTAAGCATCCAACTTAGGCTCAGGTCATGATGTCATGGTCCATGAGTTTGAGCACCACGTCAGGCTCTGTGCTGACAGCTTGGAGCCTGGAGCCAGCTTCGGATTCTGTGTCTCCCTCTCTCTCTGCCCCTCCCCTGCTTAGGGTCTGTCTCTCTCTGTCTTAAAAATAAAGAAACATTATTAATAATAATAATAATAATAAAATAAAAAGCAAATATGAACATTTCCCTCTTCTGCTTAAAAGGCTTATTTTGTTCCCAATAGAAGGATAAAGTCCATATATCTTAGCAAAACATATTGGCCTCACCTGTTTCTACTATTCATGCACTCTGGCCATATTGAGTAAATTAGTTTCCTGAATGCACCATGTGTTTAACCTATAACTTTGCATATGTTGCTCCTTCTGTGTGTAGTATCTTTTTTTCCTGATTCCCCAGGTCATCTTTTTAACTCCTTATTTCCTCTGTATAGCTTCCTTTGACATGCCGAGATTGGTTTTGTAACTTTATCCACTCATAGTGCTGTTGTACCTGTACAAAGCTATATTTTAGCATTTACCACATGATATAGTTTGTACCCCTGAATAGATTGTGATCTCTTCAAAGGAAAGGGTCTTTGTGTGTAGCACCTACCGTAGTGCTTGGATGCAGAATAAACCCTCACTAACTTAAGAAAAAAAAAAAATTAAAAACCTGGAGTCTCTATCTTCTAGGTGTTTATTCTCTAACGGTTTCAACACCAGCCTAAACATTCCTGACAAATGGTGGCTGGGTTTTCCATTCTATTTTGCAGTATATCAACTCTGGAAACCTGGAACAATTACTAGACAGTAACCTGCATTTGCCCTGGACTGTGAGGGTGAAACTGGCCTATGACATAGCAGTGGGCCTCAGCTACCTTCATTTCAAAGGCATTTTTCATCGGGACCTCACATCTAAGGTATGAAGGCTTTTCTTGCACAACTCTTTGAGACATTGTCTTCCATTACCAAGAAAGCAGTATTAAAAAAACCAATTATTAATGAACTTTGAAATAATGGAGATCTCTTACAGATTTAACATTCAATCACAGAGAATACAACTTACTACTCTGTATATTAGTATACATATATAGTATAGCTGTCCTTAGAAAACCAATCTTTCAGCAGGATTGAGTGTTGAATGTTGAGCCAGGCAACACTTAAGAACCTTAATGCTTTACTTCAATCTGAATGTATGTTGCAGGAGCAGTTGGCATGAGGAGGGTTAAGAGATTCTTGCCCTATAGGAGAGACAGCAGTCAAGGCAAATTGGGAACCTATGTCTTAGTGTTCTCTCTCATGGCCTCCAGGAAGTAGCTCTTAACTGAGAACAGAAGTTCACTGGTTTTGTCATTTGAGTGCAGGTTTTGAGGGCCATAACGTACTGACCCATTTTCTATCTGTGTGATTGAGTTTCTGCCATTCTGCCAGTTCTTTGGCATCAGCTAGTCTCTTACTGTCCAAATTGCTATGTGACCAGGTTAGAAAAGAGTTGCTTTTAGAGGATGTTGGCCATGCTACAAGGCAGGCATCTCAGGGCCAAGTGGCCCAGGACACCACCATAACAAGGCTTATATAAATAGTACTGTTTGATCATTGATGTGGGAACTGTAAATCATCTAATATGGTTTCTCTGCAAGAGCGATTTAGTCTTCTACGGAGGTTTAGAGGAGTTTGTACTTGTCCAAGAATAGCTGTCATTTAATTCTCCACCCTCAACATCTACACGTGCACATACACAGACATGCATATACATACTCCTGTACCCCTTCTGTCATGAGGGGTAACAAAGCTTGTTATCAGAGAAAGTTTGCAAAGGAACACAAGCAAGCTGTACTCTCAGAGCCAATAAGGCCTAGAGAAGTAAGTCGCTGGCTACCTTTCACTACAGTGGTTCTGGGGTTCCAAACAGCAGTACTACCCCTGAGGGGCCCTGGCCATTGGTTTATAAACTACTACAGAGAAAACAGCTTTGGGGAGGTGAGTGTAGGGCCCCTGGGTATGGCAGGGCCATTTGTAGTCAGCTACACTGTTACTGAAGCAGCATTAAGACTGGCAAGTGGTTGGGGCGCCTGGGTGGCGCAGTCAGTTAAGCGTCCGACTTCAGCCAGGTCACGATCTCGCGGTCCTTGAGTTCGAGCCCCGTGTCAGGCTCTGGGCTGATGGCTCAGAGCCTGGAGCCTGTTTCCGATTCTGTGTCTCCCTCTCTCTCTGCCCCTCCCCCGTTCATGCTCTGTCTCTCTCTGTCCCAAAAATAAAAAAAAAAAATAAAAAAAAATAAAAAAAAAAAAAAGACTGGCGAGTGGAATCCAGTGACCAACTGAGGCCTAGTTATGAGGAGTCCTTTATCTTTATTGGCACTTGTAAGGGTTAGGACCTGGAAGGTGTCATCTTATCCCTTTGTTTTTTAGAAAATCAAGACTAAGAAAACTGTACTTATTCTAGGTAAATGGGTAGGGTTGTATATCAAGATACTGCCTTAGGTTGATAGCCTTCTCTCACCTTGAGCGTGCAGCCAGAACCAAATCTTTGCTTCCTACTGAGAAAGCATCATTTCTTCCAAGGTGGAGAAACATCCCGATGAGTTATCTATGTATATATTTCCCCCACACCTACATGAGCGTCTTTTATGCCTGGCACCATGGGTGAAGAAATATTAGAAAAGGACAGTTTCTGACCTAGAGGTACTTATAGTCTGTTGGGAAATAACTAAAGAACAGCCTACAGCATTTAATAATTGAGTGTTCAGCTTCAGACCATTGGTTTTGGGAAAAGAAAGATCACTAGGTTAGGGTAGCTAGGCTTTCTGGAACAAAACTCCCCCCAACAAATTCCTAAGAGCTGATCGTATTCCCTCTGTGCCTCCAAAGTACTTTGCTCCATCATGCTAGTGTCCAAGTGTAGTTCTGTCTGGGATTGTCATGTTGTATTGTAACAATGACTAACCTCTTTGGACCTATAGGTCCATTTCCTAATGGGGAGTGGGTATCCCCTTGAGAAGAGAAATTAGGAACTTAGGAGAAAGAACTCTCCGTGTCTCTAGGCTGTGATTTCTTGGATCTGAACTGTAAGGAGATATTTAGGATACTCCCATGTTGTGAGAAAAAATGACTTTGCAACCTGGAGACAGGTTGGGAAGTGCACTGTAGGGAATCTCAAGTTCAAGAAAAACAAATGGGGGCACAAGGTGGCTCAGTCATTTAAGTGTCCGACTCTTGATTTTGTTTCAGGTCATGATCTCACTCACGGTTCATGAGACTGAGCCCAGCATGGAGCTCTGTGCTGACAGTGCGGAGCCTGCTTGGGATTCTCTCTCACCTCTCTCTCTGCGCCCCCCTTGCTAGTACTCGCTCTTTCTTTCAAAATAAATAAACATTAAAAAAATTTTTTTAAATAAGAAACTCAATTCATGAGCTCCATCAAGAAGTGGCAATCATCACACACAGGCTTTTATCAGTAGCTCTGGGAGTAACTAGTACTACACATAAGGTTTGGCTTGTAGGAGCAGCCGAGAGCAGTTTGTTTCTGCTTAATACCATTACTTCTTAGGTTATCCCTAGGAGTGTGAATTATGAATTGTACCTCTATTCTTGGTTGTTTGGTTTTGGTTTTTCACTGACTCCAAAGAAACCACTCTGGTGACTCCACCAGAGTAGAAAGCCTATTCAACTATGGTCTTAGGCTATACCACACAACTAGGAGCAGAAAATGCCAGTTTTCAGAGACTGAAGACAGCAAGAATTAGAAACAACATTGAGTGCTGGAGAGACAGAGTGTCTGTTAAGGCACCCTGTAGTAGGTTTTTTTCTTTTTTTTTTACTATAATGAATAACATCAATAATTTTTGGGAACCATTCATACTATTCTATTAGAAGATCTAGTATTGGAGACATAGAAAATTACTGGAACCCAATCTTTACTATCCATGAGCTCTTAGTCTTGTTGGGGGGACAGGTATGTGAAGATTATTACATAAGAGCTGTGGTAAAGATATGGCATCACAGGGTGATGGCAAGGGCAAGGGATGGGACACATTACAGTAAACCGGATAATCTTCTAAGAAACTTGGACTGTAGCAGCCTCTGAGCATTTTGGAGTGCAGTTCAGTCTCTGATTTCCCTGTGCTGTGAAAAGAACCTCTGAACCTTTCTTGAGATGTAGAATCAATACTTTCCTCTCTGATCCTAACTGGGTTAATGGAGTGAGTTTGTGTGAGGGGAAAGAGGTGATGGCACATGAAAGCCATTTTGTTGTTGTTGCAGAAATAGCTTTAGCTTGGAACTAACATTAATAAATGGACTTGGCATTTCTTCGCTCAGGTGGTTTTAATTTTTTTTTTTTCAACGTTTATTTATTTTTGGGACAGAGAGAGACAGAGCATGAACGGGGGAGGGGCAGAGAGAGAGGGAGACACAGAATCGGAAACAGGCTCCAGGCTCTGAGCCATCAGCCCAGAGCCTGACACGGGGCTCGAACTCAGGGACCGTGAGATCGTGACCTGGCTGAAGCCGGACGCTTAACCGACTGCGCCACCCAGGTGCCCCTCAGGTGGTTTTATTCAGTGTCAATATTGACTGTACAGCTGTTCTAGGAGACCTCAGGAACTGCTCTCAAGTGTCTACTGTGGCCCAGTTCTGAAGGGTTTGTGTTGGCTTCCAGAAAGCATTCGTGCCCACCCTTTTTGAGTCTCTTGTCAGCTCAGTCCCCACAATGGAGAGTTGAATGTATGATTAGTGTATGCCTTTGACATATGTGAAAAGAAGCCCAGTTGTTTCGATTATCTGCCCAAACTTTCATATAACAAACTTTTGCTAAGCCCTTTCTGTGTGTCTGTTCTAGGTTTTGAGACACATAGATGAATGGGATCATTCACTGTCTTTGAAGAGGCAAACATAGAAGCCTCTCTGCTATGGTGTGATGAATTATAATAGGGGTGAGGACAGAGGAATGGGAGCCAAGTAGCAGCAGTGCGTGGGCTCCTTTTTGAAGCTGAAAAGGTCAACCCTCACCTCAGGGAAGTCTGTCTGAGCCTTTCTTATGGTTGCTGCTTACTCTAGGCAAGGACAGTTTTGTTTTGTTTTGTTTCAAATTTGTATTTAAAGTCAAGTTAGTTAACATATAGTGTAATATTGGTTTCAGGGGTAGAATTTAGTGATTCATTACTTACATATAAAACCCAGAGCTCATCATAACAAGTGCCTTCTTTAGTACCCATCACCCATTTAGCTAACCCCACCCGCCTCCCTCCATCAACCCTCAGTATGTACTCTGTAATTGAGTCTCTTATGGTTTATTTCCCTCATTTTCCCCCTTCCCATATGTTAATGTTTTGTTTCTTAAATTCCATATATGAGTGAAATCATATGGTATTTGTCTTTCTGAGTGATCTATTTCATTTCACTTAGCATAATACGCTGTAGCTCTACCAATGTTGTTGTTGCAAATAGCAAGAATTCATTCTTTTTGATGGCTGAGTAATATTCCAGTGTGCGCACCCCCCCCCCAATATCTTCTTTATCAGTTCATCAGTCAGTGGGCATTTGGGCTCTTCCCATAGTTTGGCTATTGTTGATAATGCTGCTATAAACATTGGGGTGCATGTACCCCTTTGAATCTGTATTTTTGGATCCTTCGAGGAAAATACCTAGTAGTGCAATTGCTAAGTCACAGGGTA